TCTCCCACGAGTTAGACAGCACTCAGTCGCGGCTTGATAACGTCATGAAGAAGCTCGCCAAAGTGTCTCACATGACGAGTGGTAGGTCCTGGGAAGTGGAATCCAGTCCTGGAAAGGCAGAGATAAGCCCTCAGATCTTCAGGCTGGGACACTGTGTGCTCCCACCCACCCAGAAGAGGGGAGGGAGCAGCTCTCAGTGCTTGAACAAGGAGGAAGACTTCCAAGCAGCTGCCTTTGTTTTATTTACAGATGCCTTTCTATTTATGCTGCTACTGCTGGGAAAATCCCCCTCTGGCTGGTAGGAGGGGAAGCTCTGCAGCCTCCTGCTCTGCTGCAGTTTCCCGTGCTGCCAGTGGAACAAAAGCTGTCAAGGTGCCACTAACCCTGGTCACTGTGTGGCTTCCCCCACACCGGAATGCCTGCAGCAAGCCCCTTCCCAAATCCCACCTGCCCTCGGGCTGCTGGCGCCTGCAGGCCTGTCGTTGATCAGATCATCTGGTGGAGGAAAGGGCTGAATTCTGTGCTGAACCCAGAGAAAAGTCCTTATAAGGCTGTGCCTGAAGCCGGTGGGCTGGCGGAGCGCCATGGGCAGAGCAAACAGGAAGCCCGGCGTGCCTGCCGGGAAGTCCCCCGCCGCCAGCTCGCCTCTCCCAGCGCTGGCAGAGTGCCTGGCGTCACCTCCTCCAGTACCCCTCTCCTGTGGGTGCTCAGGTACCTTGTGAAGGCAGCAGCCAACCGGGAGGAAAAGCATTCCTGCTGTGCAGGATTAGGCTGTCCAGGGGATTTATGAGGTGGTGGGAATACAGCCCTAGAGAGACCGCTTGGAGTGCTGACAGTGCACTTTGGGTCACCAGTAGCCCAGCAGCAGCACAACCGCTGGCAAACCTTGTGTATCTGCCCTTTCCTCTGGGAAAACCCATGAATCATTGCAGAGTGTTTCCGAGTGTTGTGAAAAGAGCATTTCTGCTGGCATCTCATACCAGGGCCGACCAGGAGGGCTCTTCCCAGGGTGGCTGCTGAGCCCAGGAGTTGGGGGGTGCCAGCACCCTGTTCCCACTGCTGCACCATTGTCTCACAGGGGCAGACAGCAGCTCTCAGAGGCAATGCAGTGTTGAGCCAGGGAAGTGTAAAGATGTCCAGGGAGACCTTATTCCTGGCCCTCTCCTAAGGGGAGCTGCCACAAGCTCTTCCTGGCAGAGCTCTTCAGGGCAGCTTTCACCAGATCCCTTCTTGTTCCTCTAGCAAACAGATTACTCCATGAATGAACAGCGAACATGGCAGCTCTCTGCTTGTTCTTTCCAATTGTTTTTGAACCAGCTTATCAAATCTGTTTGAACTTAGTTGGGGAGAAACCTCAGAATTCCCACAGCTGTTCCCGAAACCCGATGTATCCTGGAGGAGAAAGGCTGTGGCGTTGTATCTTGTAGTAAGGCATGCTCCCACAGGAACTGCTGTTTTGGCTTGTTATGGCTTTAAGCTTCTTATGGCTTTGAGCTCCTAGCAGTACAAGAAAGGAAAGTGCTCCCCCAATTTTCCTTCCCCACTATAGCAGGAAGACTGATGCTTCCTTTTCCTTCCAGATCGACGGCAGTGGTGTGCAATTATCGTACTCTTCATCATCTTGCTGGTGGTGCTCATCCTGTTCCTTGTCCTGTGATGGACTGAACTTCCTTGGACGCCCCCTCCCCGCCCCCTCGCCCCGGCAGCACGGGGAAATGAAACTCTCACTGTTTCCGTCCGCCCACAGAGATCCCCGGCAAGAAAACCCGCACCCAGCTCTCACCATCCTCCTCCGAGGACTGCGGCTCGGCTTTGCCGGCGTCTCACTTGGCTCCGGGGAGAGGGGCTGGAGGACTGGAGCTGCCTCCTCCCCTGGTGCAGTGTGATCTGGACCTGAGCTCCAGGTCTGGACCCGGGGAGCTAGAGGGGGACTCAAGCCGCGCGTTTCCACCCGGTGCAGGTAGGAGCTGGTCGCGGCGGTCCCGAGCTGCCTGCGGTGGAATGCGGACACAGAGCAGCGAGCCCTGGGGAGGACAGGACAGGGAGGAGGAATTAATGAATTCACTGAGCATTACAAATGGTGCCACCGCCACCCACGAGCATTACCAGGCAGCGGGAGGCCCGGCCACACTCCCCCTGCCCCACGCCGCCTCCCCCCTGCCGCGGGCCGGCTCTGTGCCGCCGACTCACCGCTCAGAGAGCACGTTAGTCCGCAGCAGAGCCTTCCCACCCTCCACACCTGGGCAGAAGGCAGAGCCGGAGGGTCTCGTGTCCTGCCATCGGCCACCCGGTCACCGTTAGACACCCCAGAGCTTTAAACTTGGGTTGCTGCACGCCAAGCACTGGCAATCAGCGGTGAGCTGGAGAGGGAGTGTCTTAAAGCTTTTAAAATTGCCTCCCTCATTATGCAGCCTCTGAAGCTCGTTTACTGATGCTTTCCTTGCCCTTGTATAACTGAGTCACTGCTTCTGTTTAACAGCTGCTTCCCTTTGGCAAGTGATTTGTCAGGTCTAAAATAACTTATTTTTTTTAAGGAAAAAAAAAACTGAAGATTTTTTTGATGACCGAGCCACGTTCTCTCTGCAGGTGCACGACATGCATGATCAGAGAAACAGTGCTCAATGATGTATTTTAAGTGCATATGAACTTGTAAATATGATGTTTTAATTTTTCCCAACCATTATTTTTTGGACACCTCCATTTTAAGCAACCAAAAGGCTGGAGATTCAAAGCTATATCATGTTCCCTTATTCCTTCCCAGTCCTTTTGTTACCTCCAAGTTGTTTGTCACTTGAGTTGTCTCAGCAGTGTCAGGTCGCCAAGTTGTCTCCCTCGTACAGGGAATGTGGAGTAGCCAGGTGGGCAATACCAAAATGTGGCGAAGAAAGCTCACCTGGGCAGTGTCACTGGGGAGGAACAGGCAGGCACAGGGGTCATGCTGCAAGCACTGATTATGGGATGTGGGGTGACCCTTCAGGAAAGCAAAAACGGTTTCTTACTCCAGTCTGCTCCCATATTTAAGCTGCAAACATGAAAAGACTCAGGACAGGCTGGCTTATGGCTCCCAGATGGGTTGGGGGAGGAAGTTAATTGGCACTGACACAAAGACTTCTGCTGAAATTGCAAATCGCCCCCAAAATCGTCCTCCCAGCCTTGGAAGCTCGCCACCGGATGGCTTTACCTCCAGGACTGAACACTCCTCCCCACCGGGTTTGTGGCTCCCTCCAAGGCCTGTGTGCCCCCTGTCCCCGCCGCTGGATGCACAGCTGGTGGCACCGTGCCTTCCGCAGCCGGGTGCCGGATGGGGGCCCAGCCGAGCTGCCCTGCGCCCACCCGGGTGCTCTCGCCGTTAACGCACACGTGGTGCCCTCGGTGCCCACCCGCACTCCTCATTTCACAGTGGCTCCTTATCCTTGCAGAGCATCCCGTTTCCTTTGGTTACGCTGCAAGGAATAGGCGGTGTCTGCTTTCCAGGGCTGGCTATCGCAGTGTCTGCACCGCTCTCCTCGGGCTTATACCTCTCCAAGAGCAGGTTCCCGGGAGTGTGAGTCTGGCCGTGGAGCTGGGCTCGCTGCCGGACGGTGTTTGCACACCTCCGATCCCTGCATTGTTGTCGGTGTAGTTGTGCATCCTCTGGGAATGACTCCTGTGCAGGACTGCTCCTTCAGTAGTCCAGGGGGTGGCCCAGCTTCTGGAATCACTGCACACCACCCAACTGTCTCTGGTCCCTTTTCCTGTGTATATTTGCTTTTCTGTCGCTGGTGGTGCCCCTCCCGTTAACACTAAATAAAGGTGCAGCAAGTGCAGATCTCCAGTCCTCACCTGACTCTTGCTCCGGGACAAGCAGAGGGTCCTGTGGCACTAGGGAGTGGGGAAAACTCTCACCAGGATCTGCTGGGCATCACCCTCCTGGCTTTTGAGGCACTGCAGGTTTTGGGGTCCCCTCTGCACTGCGGGCAGCTGTGCTCAGATGTTGGGGATGCTGCAGGCAGATGTGCCCAGATGTGGGACACCGCCCTGCAGAGGGCAGCCATTGCTGCCATGCCACCTCTGTCTGCTGGAGAGACACGTTTTGGCACGAGTTTCCCCTTCCATGGCTGGAAAAAAGAACTCAAACTCTCCAAGACTGAGGTCCTCTCCACCCCCAGCAGCACCATGGGAAAACAGACACCCACCCCCGGCCCCTCCATGCCAGCCACAAGCCAAGGGCAGTATTTCATTATTCCAGAGATATATTTTTGGGTTTCAGTTTGAAATAATTTAAAAGAACCCCACCAGCCTGTGGGTGCAGGTTGGCAGCACTGGCAAGGAGCCCCCTGTCTCCTGGGGTCACAGAGATGGGGCATCCCCACACTGGTCACCTCAGTGCCCAGCAGGACAGACCTGGCTGGCTCTGTCAGGGCTGGGCTGTTCCATGTCCCCACACTTGGGGCAGCTTCTGGAGACACTGGACACTGTCTGTGGGGGGTCCTTGATCCCGGTCTGTCTCCAGGGGGGGCTGGGAAAGCCGCCTGCCCCCACTGCAGTGGTGAGCCAAGTACTGCACCAAAGCAGGGCAGGTCCTGGTGCCACGAGGCAGCTTGGTCCACGCTGTGCCATCCTGCAGCATCCTGGGACATCGTTGGGATTTCATTCTCCTCACGCTGAGCTTTGCAGGAGCCGTGCCAGGGCTACCGTGGTGGCGGGCGGTGCCGGAGCACGCGGAGGGACAGGGTGTCCGCCTGGAGCAGCAGCTCACGGATGCGGGGCAGCCCCAGCCCCGACACGGCTGCGCCGTTGACCTGCAGGATCTCGTCCCCCACGCCCAGGAGCCCCGCGTACAGCTTGGCCGTGCCGGCATCCGCCATCTCCTGCACGTACACGCCTGTGGAGAGGGACGGGGTGGGTGAGACCCCCACCCTGCCCCCCACAGCCTGGGTGCCCAGGGGCTGCACAGCAACTGATTCATGATAAACAGCCTTTGGGACAGGCTGCGTGTCCCAAGCCATGGACTGATGGACACGGGATTGTGCGTGGCTGAAGCCACACGTGGCAGCATCCCCCCATCCACTGCCACCCCTCTGGGGCTCAGCGGGGATGAAGCAGCCCCCTCCACCCATCCCCAAGCTCGCTCCTGGGGAGGGACGAGAGCCACCATGGAGGGAGCGTGTGTGCAGTGCCAAAGCTTTGGGATGATCCCTCTGTACCTGTGTCGGGCCGGCCGTGCCCGGAGGTGACGGAGAACCCGAAGGCGCCGTTGGGGGGTCGCTTCAGCTCCAGCTGGCTGGTGCCATCAGGGAACACCTCCACCACGCGTCCCACCGCGCGCAGCCGGCCGGGTGCCCCGATGTCCTCCACGCTCAGCGAGCGCCGCGGCCCCGAGCCCCCCTTCCTGTGGGGAGAGGGGAGATGGGGTGAGTGGGGACACGGGAAGCTTCTGGGGACCAGAGGATGGGGCCCCCAGCTGCACTGAGCCACCACATGTGGCTCAGCACCCAGGAACAGCCTTCCTGGGCACAGTGGGGATGTGCTGGGCCCCATCCTACCTGTCAGCTGTGGTCTGGGGCAGGAGGTAGGCGCTGGCACGGGGTGCTTTGCCCAGGAGGGGATGCAGGCTCTGGATCGAGGAGGCTTTTTGGGGCTGGCAGAAGGGTGACACCTGGGGAAAAGCACCTGGCTGAGATGAGGACAGTCACACTCACTGTGCAGCACTGCAGCGCTTCACCCACCGATGTGCTGAAGGAGCAGGGGTCATTGGGGCATCCCACCCCCTTGGAGCACTCCCCAACCCACCGCTGAGGAGGGAGGAGCCAGTGTCCCCAGCCTGGGCCAGGATACCGGCCTAAGGAGCAGCCTTTCCCAGGGAGGCACCTTCCTGCTTACCTGGCTGGGACACATGACCCACAACCGCAGAACAAATTACTCCTGACTCCCCACCCCAAAACACTCCCCCGCAGTTCCTCCTTCCCCCTTCCACTCCCCCGTTGGCTCCCAGCTTTTCAAACCCAGCAGGTTTGGAGTGGCAGATGCCCCCACACCCCACCAGGACCACCATGCCCAGGAATGCTCCACCCCAGCCTAGTGCCCCTTCTCTTGCGGGATGCCCATCTCCCCACGGACACACCCTATGTGGGGTGATGTCCAAGCTCACCAGCTGCAGGGACTGCAGGGAGGGCGACTTCTTCATGCCAGGGCCCCCCGAGGGGGAGCTGCCGGGGGCCGGGAGCTGTTCCATGCTGTAGCAGCGGAAGCGGCCCAGGCGCTCCTTGGTGCTCTGGCTCAGGCTGCACAGGAGCTTCTTCAGCCCCGACGCTGAAGCGCTGCTGCCCTTGCGGCTCGCTGGCCGCCCCGGCTCCCTGGGTGGAGAGGGATGATGGTCACCCACCGTGTGTCTGTCTGGGGGGCAGCAGGACTGGCAGCTGCCTCAGGGCTGGGGGCACATCCTGCACCAGCCTCTGCAGCCTTGAGAGCCAAAATTGAGGTGCACGGTGAGATCAGGGTGCAGCCGCCTCCCCACAGCAGTGACCCAGCATGCACAAGTTTGTCACCATCCGAAGCAATCCCTCCCTGTTTTCCCCATAATTTCAGGGGTTTAACATCTCTCAAACCTCCCCTGCTCTCTGGCCCAAGGGGTCACATCCTGCCAAGGGGCTCAAAGGACCCAGCACCGCCTCCAAACCCTCCTGCCAGGCTGAGACACACAGTGCCGGGCACAGGGCAGCAGGATCATTCTTGGGGAGCCCCAAGGCAGCTGATCTTCCCCAAAGGGGAGAACGTGACACTGAACAAAACACCTCCATCACATTTGCTGTAACACCCTTGGCGGAACCAGCTGTGGAGCAAAAATGCAGCTCCCCCAAACCCACACTAACACACTCCCAAACCCAGACCCATACATGGGCACACTGTCACCCTCATATTGTGGTTTCTGGGAGGTTTTGGGGACTGAAGGGTCGAGTCCCACTGGGAAGCCTCGGGGGGCCCAGCATAGTGGCATCCTGCAATGCCCAGGAGGGGTGCTTGGGGCTGCACGGTGCAGAACACCATGGCCCCTCACACTCACCCATGTGCTGTGCTCCCAGCTGGGTGCTGCTGCTGCTGCGCTCCAGGTGTCCCAGCACCTTCCCCGGGTGGATGAGCAGCCTCCTGGGGCACGGGTGTGGCAGGGCCAGCGGTGGGGTGTGACACTGCCCCTGTAACCACAGCGAGACAGTCACGTGCCGGCTTTGTTGGGGACCCCCCATCACCCCCTGCACGGGTCTCTTACCTCTGCCCGCCCCCAGGGCATCCTGCCCGTGGGTGTTGTTGCAGTTGTTGGTGGACAAGGCACGGAGGGGGCTCCCCGGGAGCCATCTGGGGCTGCAGGGACTTCTCCGCCCCTCTGTGCCCCCAGGCTGGGGGGAGGCAGCGCTGCCAGCATTCGGCTCTGGGCCTTGGGATCCTTGGCTCGATGCACGGCGGCTGCCACTGGAGAAGAGGGCTTTCCTGCAAGGCACCTGGGAGCAGGCCTTCTTGGTGGGGGGGGGAGCAGGGAGGTGGGTGCCTGGAATGGGGGTGCTGGTCCTCAGCTGAGAGGAAGGGTCCAGGGGCTCACTGGGCTGCTGTGGGGGATGAGTGGTGCTCCCCACCCCCTTGCTGCCCCCCAGATACCGATGTGGTTCCCCATCCTCCCGGCTGCTGGCTCTCCTCGGCGGCGGGGGGCAAACAGCCCCTGTTTGGCTTTTGGCACCACCTGAGGTCCCCCCGTCCTCTGCGCGGGGGCCACCACTGGCCACACAGGTCCCCTTCCTGGCCCTCATCTCCGGCGGTGGGGTGGCACGGGGGGCTCTGTGCCCGCGAGTCCGGGGGTCCCGGTGCCCCCGCAGGTGGGGGCTGCGGGGTCCTGCCTCCTCACTGTCCGTCCGGCAGCCGTCGGAGGTGTCGGTGCTCTCCAGGGCCGAGTCCACCTCATCGATGTAGGTGACGTCCCCAATGTACGTCTCCTTGATCTTCTCGGTGTGGATGCGCTGCCGGGAGGGGAGGATCCACAGTGGGGACCCTCCGGGGCCCAGAGGCCTGATTTTGGGCTCTGTCTGGGCTGCGCTCGGTCCCCTGCTATCCCCCGGGATGCTTCTTTGTGCCGCAGGGCTGCTTTGGGCCGCATCGGCGACAGCTTGTGCGTCCGTGCCCCGGCCGGGGGCAGCACCGAGGAAGGAGCCGCAGGCGCTGCACTTGCCCCCGGCCACGAGGTCGCCGCTCCGGGCTCTGGGCTGGCCAGCCCCGTCCCCCGGCTGCCTGCTGCCGGCTGGCTCCGGCGAGGAGAGCGCCGAGCCCAGCGCCCGCCGGTGCCGCAGCTGCAGCCGCTCCAGGTACCGCACCTCGGCGTCGCGGGCCGACTCGTCCTCGAAGCGGACGCGGGATGGGGACGGTCCCCGCGGCCGCCGCGGCCGCCCGCAGCTCGACTCCCCGCTGGACGAGTCGCTCAGGCTCCCGCCGTCCCGCGGGGCCACGCTCGGCCTCCCGCTGGGCTCCCTGCCGTGGGGACAGACAGACGGACACGGGCAAGCTGCAAGGGCTGCCCGGCTCCCTTGGGAAAGCAGAGCGGGAGGGGGAAAACCCAGCGCAGACGATGGGGCAAGGAGGAAAGTTCACCCGATGCTCCCTGGCTGTGTACAGCCCTGCTCCCGCTCCAGCCTAAAGCTGGAATCTGGAGAGGCTGCGGCACTATCCCGCTGCCACAGCCCAGCCTCCATCACCCTCCCCCTGCCCCGAGGTGTGTGGTTAATCATTCCGGGAACACCACATTGCACATGACCCAGCACACACGGTGAGATGCCGCTTTGGTTCAGCCTCCAGCAGCGAGTCTGCCCCGGGAAAACACGTCCCATCAGCTGTGAGACGCCATCCTCCTGCCATTAATGCCTCCGTGTGACCATAAAACACCATTTAACTAAACACCCCCCAAATACTGTGCTACGAAGAGGTCAGGCAGGGGATGCTCCTGCATCCAGGGTAAGAGGCTGCACCGAGCACCCAGTGGGTCAGACCCCGGCTCCACACGCGTGCCTGCACATATGTGCACACTCCACACAGGCAACTGCATCTCTTTATGTGTCCCAAACCCAGCTGCAGCCCTGGGAACACCGTGGAGGAGGCAGGGGAGGGGCAGGCAGGGTGGTGGCACTGACCTGGGGTGCGGGAGGGCGGTGGGGAGGAGGAGGATGTCGTGGCTGGCGCGCAGGGGGTTCGTCCGAGCCTTCATGCGGGCGCGCTGCAGCAGCTGCTTGGCCTGCTCGTGCCGCGGGCTCAGCTCGAGCTCCTGCCCAGGGACAAAGGCCCTGCGGCCCCGCAGCGGGGAGGGGGATTAGGAAAAAATAACAGGGATTAGACGTGGTTTAACAGTGACGACGAGGCTGCTCTGCCCAGGGAAAACGGGGCTCGGCCGCCATTCGTGGGCGGGCTGGCAGCCGCGCCGGGGAACGCCCTGGCGGGTGCCCTTTTCCCCCCCAGTGACAAGTGATGCCTTGGGGGGAGGCTCAGCACCCACAGCTCGGGCATGGGCAGCACTTTATGCCATGGGCATCCCAGAGATGGACAGGGAAACTGAGGCAGACGCTGCTTCCCATCCCCACCACTGTAAATCCCACAGCCATGGGGAGGCAGGTGAGTTTGGGATGACCCCCTGACCCAGCTGCCTTCCCTTCCTTGCAGGGGGTCTTCCCCTGCACTCTCAGTCCTACCAGCTGCAGGGTGGGGGAACTATCAGCTTTCCCTGCTCCAGCACTGCCTTCCCGGTTGGCCATGGCGCTAATCCTCCTGATTAAAATAATCAGCTCAGGCAGTTGCTTTGGGAAGCCTGGCCTTAACCTCTTCAGGGCAGGAGGGTGGGCGCACGCTGGCCTGTCTGTGCAGCACTCTGGGGGGTCCAGGCTGTCCCCAGGGTTTGGCTGCCCCTACTCACAGGAGGTGCAGCATCCCTGGCTCTGCCTTGCACTCCCCATGACTGATCCAGCCACCCAAGAGGAATAGAACCACCATCCTGGGGGCCTCTCCCCACTCACTCTCTTCCCCTGTGCAGCCCCCAGCCCCTCACACTGCTGCCCAGCTCACTTGCCCATCCCACCTCCTTATTTTTAGTCCATACCTCAAAGGTTTATCATTAGTCCAACAAGATTACACATGCCTGTCTGCCTCAATCTTCTTAAGCACCTGGAGCAAATTTCTGTCCCATCATCTTCCCCAGCTCCCTTCCCACCCAGGGGTCCTGACTGGGGTCCCCTGTGCTCAGACACCTCCTGGATACCCAGCTCCTGCCCCAGCTTGCACCGAAGCATCGCTGGAGCCCGGCCACGCTCCTCCACCAGCTGCCACGCTGGGGGGCTGCCCCACAGCCCTTCCCCAGAGCTGCTTCATGGGATGTATTTAAAACACAAAAGGGAAAGAGGGAAACCTCCATCTCTGCCATGCTGGGACTGACCTACCTGCAGCCCTCAGCGTCCTGCAGTGAGACCCCCGAGTCCCAGTCACCGTCACTCGCCACCGGCATCTCTGAAATGCAAGACAGAGAAAGGCATCAGCCTGGCTGGATGGCGGCCCCCACCCTGGCCCCCCTTGACAGCACCCCTCGCTTACCCCATCTCAGCACCCTCTGCAGGGCTCTCCCAGATGCTTGGCTCTGGGAGACCCCAGAAGAGCAGGATATGGGGTAACAGCATGTGGCATTGGGTGGGACTGTTGGGGGGGACCATGGGGTCATTGGGGCAGATGCTGTCAAAGGAGAAATTAATTCCCTTTTCTGGTGGCAGCTTCTAAAGGGACAGTAACGCCCACAGAGAGCTCCAAAAGGTGGGTTTCTTGCTCTTAGCAGTGAAATTCTTCACCAGAAAGGGACCGGCAGCACCCAGAACATCTTATTGGTATCTCCTACATCCCAAGAAAGGGGATGGGGCAGCCCCAGGGTGTGAAGGAACAAAGAGTTGCACCCACACCATGGGAGGCTGGAGGATGCCAATGAGGACCCCACTTTGCCCCAAAGCCTTTCCCTCCCACACCCCCAGCTCTCCTGAAACAGCTGCCACCTTCCCAAAATACACACCAGGAGCAGCAAGGCCCAGCACCTCCTGCAGCAGCCGCCGATTCCTCTCCACCCGCTCGGACAACGAGAGCCTCTCCCAGCCCTCTGCTGCAGGGGGGGACACAGAGGGACCCCCCCGGTCCCACGGCGGGGTTCGTGCCTCTTCATCCCGGGAGCGTCTCTCGTGGAGGGAGGCAGAGCGCCGAGACCTGCTGCCCTTGTCCTGCAGGAGCTCGGTGCCTCCCAGCACATCCGCCCTGTGTGCCGGCACCCGCCAGAGCCCCGGGGTGCCAGGGCGGGGTGCCGGGGCTGGGGGGCTGCCATCCACAAGCTCCCCACCATCCAGCAGCCCATCCGTCAGGTAGGTTCGGAGCTGAGCCCGTGGCTCCACCGCTGCCACATCCACCCCCGGCTTCCCCCGCCGGGGCCGGGGTTTCTTGGGCGAGGAGCGCTCGGGGGTGGCTGCAGGGGTCCCCGGCCGGCCGCCCCCCCGCTTCTCCTTCAGCGCCTTCACCTTGCTTTCCAGGACGGTGTGGGAGCCATGGGCGGCCTCGGGGCGCTCCAGCGGGGTCCGGCTGCCACTCTGGCTGTGCTGCCTGGGGGGCCGCGGCACATGCCGTGCCTCAGCGGGAGAGCTCCCCTCCATGAGTCCTGCAGAGAGAAAAGCCAGGGGAGGGTGGGTGGGTGACCCCCACACCGCCCTTGCCTTCCAGAGCACCCCACCTGTGCCTCCACAAAGGGCATCACCCGCCTGCCCCAGGCTCTGCAGAGATGGGGATACCTGTGCTGGGGGAAAAACGCATGCAATGGCACCAGAGGGTGCTCGGGGAGGAGGGGGATAGGGAGGTGGCACAGCACGAGGCCGCCCAGCCACCCACCCAGAACACTGACATCGTGCCGGCATCGCTGGGGAGCGGGGGGAACGGGGGAGCAGCGGCGGAGCAATGGGGAGCAGTGGTTCCCCGAAGCAGGTGGCCAAAGGCTGAGCTGAAGTACGGGTGCCCGCCCACGCTGCTTCAGGCGCCCTGGGGCACCCAGCAAGATGCCCCGAGGGGAACCGGTACTTTCTGAGACAAACAGGGGCCCCAAAACTCCCCAGAACAGAAATCCCTCCCGGCTACAACTCGCCGAAGGTGCCGCCAGACAGACGCCACCCTCTGCTCCGCCCCGGCCCCCGGGGTCACACGTGGCACTGGTCCTGCGCCGGCCTCGTGGTCCCGGTGGCACCCAGGTGCCAGTGCCCTCCTGCGCCCCGCTGGGAGCATCCTGTCCTCACTGGAACCCCTGGAGGAGCCTTCCCCGCGGCCAGGACTAAAGGAGCATCCCCATGACACCCCCCGGGCCCCATCGCCCCCCGGCTCCCCGCAGCCCTGAGCTGAGCGGGACGGGGTCGCGGGCGGGAGGCGAGGGCTGTTCCTTACCCCCGGAGCAGCATCGGGAGTGGGCTGGGAAGAGGGAGAAGAAAGCGGAAGAAGGGAAGGAAGCAGGGGAGGGAAAAAAAAAGAAATTAAAAAAAAACCAAGGACAAACCAGCAAATCCCGGCCCCTCCAGCCGAGCCCGAGCTCAGCCGCTTGGCTGGGCTGTGGGGCCGTGGCTGGCCCTGCCTCCCGCCCCGGCCGCCTCCTCCTCCTCCTCCTCCTCTGCGGGACATGGGGGGAGAGGAGCCGGGGCACTCGGCCAAACCCGGCCCGTCCCCGCTCCTGCGGCCGGGTGGCCCCGAAGGGCGATGCCACCGCGGCCACGCGACACGTCAGGGACAGAAGGGGCGACCCAACACCCCGCGTTGCCACCGAGGGGACCCCACAGGAGGGGAATCCAACACCCCGGGACGGAGGGATCCCAGCTTGCCTTGGCCCGCTCTCAGGAATGTCCTTTGTCTGGGCTGCGGGCTGGGGAGGCGGCGGGAGCAAACCCAGCCCACCTCCCCGGGCGCTGGGTGCCAAGGGGTCTGTCTGTCCCGCACTGGTGGCTGGGGCTTCCAGAGGCTCCAAAAAGAGGGGGAGTGTGGTCCCGCGGGGTGGGGGTGTTTTCTTCAACAACCCTCTCCAACAGCAAAGCCTGCCGGCTGCCGGCACCCTCCTGTGAGCATCACACGTTTGCAGCTGTGCTAAACATTCCTGCTTTCCTGGAGGCCAAATCCTGCCTGGCCCCAGGGCGAGGCAGGGCCAGCCGAGCCTCTCCAGGCGGGAGCATGGTGGGAGCCGAGCTCGGTGCATCCACATATCATCACCCCTAGATCCAGCGTGTGACACACACCCGCTCCCCACGCCCCAAACCCCCCCAAGCCCCCTCCGAGACCCCGCCAGGCGGGACGAGGGTCCCGGGTGGGCAGTGCTTACCTGGAGGTGCCAGACCTGCCGTCCCTGGGGGGCAGGAGGGGCGCTGTGGGGGCCATGGGCATCCCGGCCCCACTCCGGCTGCTGCTTTAAGCTGTGGCTTCTGATATTCGTGATTGGTTTCATAATCCCGATCAAAAGGAAATCACCAGGATTATGAAATTGTTTTAATCCTCCTGGCTCTGGCCGCGCTGGCCCCTGCCAGCACGAGCAGCAAGAAATCACTCTTATCTTCTTAAAACGTCCCCAGCCACCCCTGTGGCCCTGTAGCCCTCCATCGTGGCCAAACGTGGGAGCAAGGGCTTCCTTTCCCTGTGGGGGTGACAGCCGGGATGACTCCTTGCTCCACGGGGGACAGACCAAGCGTCTTCCCTCGGCTGCTCCCAGGCAGGAGGGGCCGTCTGACAGTTTTGTGTGGAAGAGCCCAAGGCACAGAGACCGTCCTCACCCTGCACCCCAGCGCTGGGGTCCAACCTCCCCTGTGATGCCAGGACCCATCCTTACCTCCACGCCATTCCAGAAAGGGATCTCGGCTCTTCTGCCCGGGCTGAGGAGGTGAAACACGTCTGGGAGTTGTCCCCATCCAGCTGGGGACAAACCAACCTCCTGCTGAGGTGCCAAAGCAAGAGCAGGCGAACTCCTGCCACCAGCCAGGCTCTTGCCACCAGCCAGGCAGTGCCAGGAGGGAGCTGCAGCCGGGATTAAATCTCTGGGAAGCGGCCGGCAAGAGCAGCAACAGGCTTAGAGTGATTTCAAGGCACTGGGCTCTCTTCTGGAGGAAGATTGATTGCAAGAGATGATGAAGAGATTTAAGGAGCAAAATGAAGAGCAGAGACCCCAGACAACCCAGGGCTGAGCTGCTCAGCCTCTGGTCACCCACTGTGCTGGCAGGAAAACATCTTGGGTTGGAGACAAGCTAGAGGGAGACAAGCTAGAGAGAGACAAGCAAAGGCTTCCAGAAGGACCAGGAGACTTTGTCTGGCGCAGCAAAGTCTGGGCAGGAGGTTTTCTCCAGCATCAGCCCCCGGCGCGTTGCAATTGAGCCCTGGGCACCTTCCTGTGAGCCCCTCCTGCCCACCTCCAACCCCTCCTCAGACATCTCTCTCCTCCAAGCACCTCCACCTCCTCCCAGGACATGGATGTTCCCCACTTCCCGCCACCAGTAACATCCCACAACTCCCAAAGGCATAAGAGCAGCGTTGCCACGGAGCAGTGGGAGCCAACGCTCCATGGGTGGATGCAGCACAGGGGTGGGAAGACACACACACAGACCAGGGACAAAAGAGCCATCAGATCATTGGAAAACAAAGAGCTTGTAATAATGAAAAAAGGACAGATTTCGTAACCAATCACTTTTTCCTTTGAAAAAACACAATCACAGTAACTTTGCTTTATACAACCACCTAGAAACTATGAAACAGTATCACATTGTGCAGTATTTTTTTTTTAAACCTACTTATCAAGAAGGGAATTCCACACTTCAAAAATTATATCCATTTGGGGGAGGAAGGAGGAGACAGCTAATAGCGCAGTCACAGATACATCATGAGTCCAAGCAAGCGGCAATTCTTTGTCCTCACCTTTTCCACTGAGCCAAAAAAGAAGAGTGGAGAAGGGGATAGCAAAAGAGAAAGGAGGAGGGAAGAAAGAAAGCACCCACAGAGGACTAATCACACTCCATAATTACTTTTGACATCTACAGGGCTTCATAGAAAGATCATTTAGACCAACACAGCGGGGAGGGGGAGGGGAAGGCGGCAGTGGGACCCAGGGGGAACTGTGGCATTCCACCCTGGGCCCCTTCCAAACGCCGATCCTTCGCCAGGAGGACCTACGGGATGGAGAGGTCATCACAAGTTCTACCAGGATGCCGAATTTCTCCTCTGGAGCGAAGAGTTTGCAATTTGGTTTCTAGAGCTTGAGGGAGCGTCAGGCAGGGTCGGTGCCTCTTGCCCGCCGTGGCACAGCTGTGCCAGGGCCACAGCGGGCTCCGACTCCCACCAGGAACAGGACTGGGGCATCAGCATCTGGGTACACTCCATGTTGCTGTCCCTTTCCTCCCCTTTCCCTGCAGCCTGGATGCTGCAGCAGGGACCAAAGAACCTCAGGGATGCTGACACACCCGTTTAACCCTGTGGTGGCAGGTGACAGCTCACCCCAAGGCGCGGAATTTGGGATGGTGTCATGTAAAGGAGGCAAGGGTTGATGAGGTGACAGCCACTGAGCCCAGCCGTGACTGCTGCAGAGGTACCGTAGGGATTTTCCACTCTTCCCCCAGGAGCCCCAGCCCCTCTTTTCCAAGGAGACAAAACAATCCGATCGCCTTCTGGAATAAAAGTATAAATTAAAAAAAAAATGCTTAAGGCAGAAGATCATCTTCCCCCTGCGAGTGCAAAGCAGAAGGGTGGAGGAGAGGAGGGAGGGCATGGAGCCAGGATGTGGTGTGTGAGCAAAGTGGCTTTTGTGTTCCCAACTGGAGCCAAGCCATGTCCCAGTCCCAGGACACATCCCAGCGTGATGGCCCAACGTTGGGGACACAACCCCCAAAGCCTGGAGCACACACCACGTCCCAGCGAGCGGTGCACGGCAGCATCCCTGCAGGACAAGGCCAAATCCACTCGGTGGTGCAAAACACAGGCCAAGTTCAAAGGCTTCACAGCGTCTCCTTTGTCAATGGAAGGTAAAATACCCAGGGATTGTTACCTCCTGAACCAGGAACATGCTTTCCCTCCCTGTCTGCCACACTGCAGCAGCGGCTGAGTGCTGGCATAGAGGCAGAACGAGCAGCACAAGAAGTTTTTAGGGAAGTGGGAGCAGCAGCATCCAACTCTGCTGAGATTTCCACAAGAGATCTCCCCCAGTCCAAGATGTTCATGATAAAGGCTGCAGCCCTTCATCCCCTTTCATTGGCATTGGACAAACAGCAAAGACACCAACAGAACGATGAGGGCTTGGAAAGGCATCGGATGAGCACCAGCTGACTTTGGGAACGCGCCTGGATGTGAGAGGTAGGAGCTTATCGGGTACACAGAGGCTGCAGCCGTGAGCACTGCAAATGCATTTCTTTTAAAATGTGGTGGGACAGCATCAGTTCCTGCTGATGGAACAGCTCCTGTTCCTGCTTGCTGAGTCTGCAGATCCCAAACCTGCCCCACTGTCCCCTCAGGAGCGCACCCATGGCGCGTGGCATCACCCTGTCCAAGCCCAGGGACACCATCCCAAAGCCATGCAGGGAACCCCGGCCAGCAAATAAACTGGATGCTGCAACACCTAACCCCCTGCAATTCAAAAATCCCTGGAGGAGCATCA